CAGGAGGCACTGCAACAAATGCTGCACCTAAAAATCCAAACAACCTCACACCCATCACTCTATTTCCTATTACAGCCTAGTGATGTGAACAATGGGATTTTCTAGAATTGGGAACTGAGTCTTATTCTATGCACAAAATTGTTAAACACCTGATGTCTTGATGCCATCATATGACGGGCTATTACTTACAGCCATGTGACTTTAGGCACTAAATTTAAGCTCTGAGCACCAATGTTTTAATCTATAAAATGGAGAGAATAATAGCTATCATGCAGAGGTATGGAGGGAACTAGCTACCATTATTATCATAATTATACTTATTATTTCCACCCAACTGTTCCCTTTGCCTATCTTTTCTAATCACTGTCCAAGATGTTTCTTCTTTACAAGTGAAACATGAGCATCAACTTCAATGCTCACTGGCTTTGTTTGTTTCTTGCAGTCTAGCCATTGTTACATGTTGCCATTTCTACTTTCATGCCATTCTCAAGTGATGTCTCTACCTTCTGAAACCTAGATCACCTCCTTATTGCAACCTGCTACTCACCAGCTTTCCCCTCTCCTGTACCTATTCTCAATGTTCTCAACAACCAAGGTTCAAAGAGGTGAAAAACAAAGCCACAGTAATGCAGCTAGTTGGTGGCCAAGTACCAGTTAAAACCTAGGTGTCAGTGCAACCAAGTGCAGCTGCACTGCATTAATTATTCACTTCAGGGTTCCCAGTGACAATTTTAAATCTGAGGTGAGCTTCCCTTAACACCAAGCCTTTTCTTTTTAGTCTTTTTTTTTTTAATCTTTATTGTTGAATGTATTACAGATATTCCTCATTTTTCCCCCACTGACCCCCTCCTCCCCACTTCCGCCCCGCTCCCGCCTTTTCCCACACTATTGTCTGTGTCCATTGGTTATGCATATAAGTTCATTGGTTTATTTCTTCCCACCCCACAACCACCTTCTCTTTGAGGTTTGTCAGTCTAGCAACCAATTTGTTTTTCTTAATCCCTTCACCTTTTTTACCCATTCCCCCAAACCCCCTGCCATGTGCCAACCAACAAAATGTTCTCTGTATCTATGAGAATGTTTCTGTTCTGCCTGCTCATTTTGTTTATAGATTCCATTGCCAATAGATATGTATTCATTGCCATTTTGTTTGTTCATATAGTTTATCTTTTTCTTCAAAAAGACCCTTCAACATTTCATATAATAACGGTTTGGTGGTGATGAACTCCTTTAACTTTTTCTTGTCTGGGAAACTTTATATGGCCATCGATTCTAAATGACAGCTTTGCAAGATAGAGCAAACTTGGTTGTAGGTTCTTGCTTTTCATCGCTCTGAATATCTCTTGCCACTCCCTTCTGGCCTACAAAGTTGCTTTTGAGAAATCAGCTGACAGTCTTATGGGAACTCCCTAACTGCTTCTCTCTTGCTATTTTTAAGATTCTCTCTTTGTCTTGAACCTTTTGCATTTTGATGATGATGTGTTTTGGTGTGGGCCTCTTGGGGTTCATCTTGTTTGGGACTCTCTGTGCTTCCTGGACTTGTATGTCTGTTTCCTTCACCAAGTTAGAGAAGTTTTCTGCCATTATTGTTTCAAATAGGTTTTCAACTTCTTGTTCTCTTTCTTCTCCTTCTGGCACCCCCAGGATGCGAATGTTGGCACGCTTGAAGTTGTCCCAGAGGCTCCTTACACTATCCTCATTTTATTGGATTGCTGTTCTGATTGGGTGGTTTTTGCTTCCTTGTGTTCCAAATCAATGGTTTGCTTCTTGGCTTTACCTACTCTACTATTGAATCTGTGAAAATTATTCTTTATTTGTTAGTGCCTCCTTCATTTCTGACTGTACCTCCTTCATTTCTGACTGGTCTTTTTTAATGCTCTTGAGGCCCTCACTCAGTTCATTGAGCATCCTTATAAGCAGTAGTTTGAACTCAGCATCTGTTAGGTTGCTTATCTCCATTTCACTTAAGTTCTTTTCCTGGAGATTTTTTTTGTTCTTTCATTTGGGACCTGTTTCTTTGTCTCCTCATTTTGGCTGCCTTCCTGTGTTTGTTTCTATGCATTACTTAATGAGAGGTATGGGGCTAGATGAGACCAGGTGCTGCTTGTTTGAAAGGATTTAGGAAAACCTGAAGCAGGATCCAAGACAGGCCAATCCTATGGTAAAGCAACTGGCAACAGCTTGGGTGGGCCTGAAAGTTGGGTGGGGCGGGGCCTCAGGGAATCACCAGGGCAGGGCAACCAGTGTGAGCCAGGTTGCTGCAGTCCCAGATATGGCGGCTGTCTGCTGCCCCAGGGCAGGGCTCACCAAAGAAACAAAGGCCTCTGACAGCACGTTTGTCCCGGAGAAAGCCCCCTCTCCAGCACTCGCTCCAGTGCCAAACAGCTCAGTTCTTCCCTGTATGTCTCCAGCGGCCCTCGGGCTGCCTCCCCTCCAAGCTTAGAGGAAGTGAGTCCGATAAGTCTGTGCGTGGGCCCTTTAAGAGGGGCTGCCTGGGGTTCCAGCCACCTCAGCCTCCCTGAGCCTCAGTTCCCACTGGTTTTTCCAGCCAGAAGTTATGGGGACTTCTCTTCCTGGCACTGCAACCCTGTGCAGGGTGCCTGGTGTGGGACGGGGACCCCTCAGTCCTCTGGAAGGACCTTCCCAGCCGAGGTGTTCTCCTGATTTTTATCCGCCACACATGGGAGTGGGACCAGCCCGTCCGCCTCCGCCCCTCCTACCAGTCTTAATGTGGCTGCTGCTTTAACTCCATACTTGTAGGACTTCCATTTAGCTTGATTTCAGGCGGTTTTGAATGGTTGTTCTGTAGTTTAGTTGTAACTTTGATGTGGTTGTGGGAGGACGAGATACCGTGTTTACCTGCGCCCATCTTGACCGGAAGTCAATACCAAGCCTTTTCCTGGATGCTTCTCTTACTGGTCAGTTTAGTATCATAAAATAAGAATTCTTTCAAATGCTTAAAAAAGAAACACTAATCTCAGAAAATTATTAAATATATCTCAGTGTTTTGAGGGGAGTTGTTGTTGTTTGTATTTAGTATTTCTCTAAACTGGGGACAAAAATTGGTCACATAAGGCCTCACTGAGGACTAGAAGACTGTAGGAGGAGAAAGGATGTAGTTCACAGGAAGTAAACCCATGAAAATTCTGCTGGGAGAAGCACTGCATGCAATTCTAGAAGGGATGGAGCAGAGAATACCAGTTTCCACCTCTACATTTCTAAAGATAAAGGTTATATCTTTTAATATTATTGTACAAGGATATGTGGACATGAAAATTTCATTAATATTGACTTCTTTGGCGAATGACATGATTTCCCAAAATCATGAAAACTAGTAAAAAGATGGTAACAAGACATAACATGTCACTTTATGTAGGATCCAGAAGGGTTTACCAAAATCTAACTCCAAGGACTGTGGAGAACAGAATGAATGCTTGTATCACTTCATCAGTAAAGCAGACGAAGTGCTAGGAAGAATGGGTTGATATATGGATCATTGTAAAGTACCATTTGTTTTTTATTTGTTGTTGTTTTTTGTTTGTTTTTTATCCTCACCCAAGGACATTTTTCCATTTTTTATTCAGATGGAGTGGTGAGGGAGAGAGAGAGAAAGAAACATTGACGTGAAAGGGACACATCGAGTGGTTGCCACCCGCACGACCCAACCAGGGCCGGGGACAAACTGCAACCAAGGTACATGCCCCTAGAGGGAACCAAACCCGGGTCTCTCTGGACCGCAGGCTGACGCTCTAACCCTGAGCCAAACCGGCCAGAGCACCATTTGTTTTTATATTTGTTTTTTAAGTACAGTGTGGAATGTCATTAACTAGTATAAACTTTGACATCAGTGATGTTCAAATTCAACCTCTCTATCAGCCAGCTATCTGATCTAGCACAAATCATTCAAACATATTTAATGATGTAAGATTTAAAGTGATGATGTGTATATGGCAGGGGCTTTTAAAATAGATATATAAGATGATTTATATTACTATACATTATGTACCAGGTTAATAAACCAGGACCTTATGTTCATTTATACAGCCTAATCTTTTGGGGGAGAGGGAGATAAAGAGAGATTCTTATAGTAGAAACCCTACTCCATTCATAGAAAATCATCACCACTACTTAATGGAGATATGAAAGTGACAAAATAAATGAATATATTTACTAATTTAAAATTAACACAAATAAAAAATAAAATTATTAAATAAAATGTCACTACCTCAATATACATTAATCAGGAAGGCTGATGGTTTATATACTCTCCCCTCTCAATATACACACTCTCCTCTCATACAATACAGTTGCCAGAAATAATTAAAGATGTATCAGTAATAGCTCAGCTGGTGTGGCTCAGTTGGCTAAGCATCACACCAAGAGGTCTCCAATTTGATTCTGGGTCAGGGCATATGCCTGGGTTGTGGGCTCAATCCCCAGTAGGGGATGCACAGGGGACAGCCAATCCATGACTCTTTCTCATGGAAGTTTTTTTTCTCTCTCTCCTTCTCCTTCCCTCTCTCTATAAAATCAATAGAAACATTTTTTTTAAAGTAGTCATCAGTGCTCATGGAGATTCCCTCTATGGATCTGAACTAGTCAACCCATAGTCCAGACCATTGGTGGAAATATAACAGTTAAGGGTTAACTCTAACATCATTCATTCATTCACTTATTCAGACCCTACTTTATACCAGGTTCTCCTCCAAGTGCTGAGGAGAACCAATGCCATCATAGAGCATACATTTTAGCAGAAAAATACAGACAGTAACCAAGTAAACTATGTAGTAGGTCAATGATGATTAAATGCTACAGAGAAAAACAGGCATGGGAAAGGGCGCCAATTCTAAATAGGGCAGCCAAGGAAGGCCTCACAGAGTAGGTGCCATTTAAACAAAGACTTAAAGGAGATGAGTAAGGCACACAGGTATCTGGGGAGAATAGTGGAGCTATGCAAACCTTCCCAGCAAGTCCAGATAAGTCAAAATGCAAGCCCTTACCTTTCAAAAGTGGTTGGAAGGTTGGAATCTCTTGCAACTTGATGACATCAGGATCATTGCTGACATTTCTTGAGGCCTGGGAGCCCTGAGCAACAACCACAATATCATCCATCTTGGCTCTGTGCTTAGCTGGAGAAGGAGTCACTAAAAATAAAGTGACATTGCTCAGGAGTTGCATGTTCATTAGCCACCTCTCTCTCACCAAAGCTGTTTCACTGTAGTTATTAAAAAGAATATTTTTATACCAAAAAATGCTAACTGGATTCATCCTGTGGTGGGGGCTCGGGTAAGGGAAATGAATCACGGAGGACCTTCGTTTTTTGTAGTAGTTTTAAAAAAAATTCAAACATTACAGGAATATGTATAAAATTGTTTTGTAATTTAAAATATTTTATTATTCAGTACACAAAAGAATAGGCAGACTGTGTTTTTAATTTTTACTTCTTTGATCTTCCTGATGTCTGTTCCTATTTTACCAATGAGGATATAAGGGTACAAAATTTGGCTGTGACTTGCTCAAGGTCAACAGTGCTAGGAACAGTTAGGAAAGGAATTGGAGGTCTACGGGTTGTTGGTATACATGACCCATCCCTCTGACGCTGTGGTTGCAAAGCTGTCTAGTCACCCAACACAACAAACCAAGTATGTTTTACAGGTCCTACTCAACCCTAGATAATGGGTGTATTCCTGAGGCACCAGCCCCTTCACCCTTATAGTTACAAGCATTCGTCCAAAAAAGGTAAAACATAATCAGTAGGTCCCTTCTAGGATGAAGCAAAATTCAGAAACTTGGACTGCTAGAAAGGCAGGTCAATTTCAGGTCTGTTAGGAAAACGTAATCTACTTGTAGGGAAGTGATTCAAATTATCAAGGACTCCCTAACCCAAGACATCCTGCTCTCCCCAAGTATGTTTCTGGTTGGGCCCAGAATAAACCTTTACAGTATTTTACCCTCTATAAGGCAGATTTGCAAGTTCACCACAGTCAGGTTCTTTAAAGGTTGATCCAGGATGCCACAAAACTGCCCTGCCTCCTAGAGGTAAGAGTCTCCTATAGCATGGCATTCACTGCTCCAGAATCTCTTATTGCTCTTTAAGAAACGTCTCTAAACCTCTTGGTAATTTACTTAACGCGCTCAAGGGTTAAAAGAGTGTACACCTGTTCGCACACCCCTCTGAAAAGGAACCTCTAAGACCCGTTTTTAATAAGGAACCTGTCTTAGAGTTCCTGTTTACGATCCACCCACTGTGAGAACCAAATCTCACTGTCAGTCATGAGTACTAAAGCCAATAATTAATTAGGTCATCTTTTAAATAGGCTGCAGCTAGGAGAAACAACTGTTTCGAAAATAAATAATGGGAATGGGCGCCCACGCTGGCTCAGCTTGCGTTCACAGGCACTCATTTCCATCAGCGGATTCAAGGCTAGAACAGATGGTGACTTTTTTTTTTTTTTTTTTTTTTTTTTAAGAAAAAAGCACGGTGAGGGCTTTCTGTGCGTTCCTGTCCGCCGGTCCCAGACCCCACTAGGCTGGGAGGCAGCACGAGCCGCAAGCCGACACGGCTGGTGGAGGAGGGTGGAAGTTTCAGGGCACCGACCTGAGGAGTTCAGATCGTTGGGTCGGCTCTCGGCCTCGGAGCTCTGCTCACTGCCCATGGTGCCGGTAGCGAAGGCAGCAGAGGAATGGCGGGGCGGGCGGTCACCGCTCCGCCAGCAGGGCGACTGGGCAAGGACGGGGACGGGGATGCTACAACGAGCCTGGGCGCCGCAGCGAGGCCGCGGTGTGCTCAGCCCACGTAGGCGCGCGGGCGGTGGGGAATGGGGAGCCTCTACTTGGAAACAGACGCGCAATGAGGAGAGGCCGGCTGCACGCTGCTCGCCCGCCTTCCCTGGAGAAATCCCAACGAGAGCGAGGCGGGAAACGCCAGGCTTCAGCCGCGCCTGCCACCTACGGGCGGCGCCGCTTTCACTCACTCGCTCAGGCGCCCAGGCTGGCTCCTTCCGGGACGCGGATTGGCGGCGCCGGCTGCGCGCGGCTGTCAGTTCCGGGTTAGAGGGCCGCGGCTCACACAGGAAACTAGGGTGACGCCCCCTTAAAGGGCCCGACCGCCTGAAAACCAAAACCGCCTCAAAGGATAAGCTTTTTGCTAGTGTACTGATGCGTCACCTTTAAGCACCATCCCCACATTAGGTATTTACCCCTAACGTTAGAACTTTACAGAATAGATAGTTTTTTCACTTTGTTTTACAACTAAGGAGAGGTGCTAGGTAGATTTAGGATCCGAATCCACAACTGTCTGGATGGAAGCCTACTGCTTCAGGTCTGAAAGCTAGGAGTGTGGCAGTGGACGACCACATAAAAAATACTAAACGGTGAAGGAGTTGGAAGTGTGACAAAAATGGTATGCGCGCATCTTCAAAGGAAGTGGATGCTGCTACAGTCTAGGCACTTTCTGGGGGACCATGACAATTATCGGCAAGCTCCCATTCTGAAACAAGCAAAGGTGAGAAAGGAGTACAAGTAATGCAGACCGGCAACTACCAGTTTGGGCAGGTCAAGGACGTTGATCTAGCAATGCAATGCCATCGAAGAGTTGGGAGGCTCTGGAATTCTCAGAATGTGCAACTCATTTTATATTGTTTTCTTCAAGAAATCTCAAGGCAAATGTCCTGAGATTTTACATATGTAAATGTAATCTCAGAAGGAGTGCCAATTCACTAAATGATGAAGTCCTTTTTATTCCATATCACAGACATTTCTTCTATTTTTATCTTATTGAATTTTCACAACAACTCTGAGGCCCATAAACATGAAACTTCCTCTTGGTCACCAGGCAGGATTAGTATTTAGTACTGTCTGATTTCAAACATCAGGCTCTTTCCGCTACTCAGCATTACAATACTGTGAAAATAAAGTACAAATGAATGCAGGTTCAGTATTCTGTGGGATTATAAGGATAGAACTAAAATCTGCCAGAGAGATCAAAGTAAGCTAGAAGGTGGTGTTTGGCTATAGTTGAGGTTTAAACAAAACACCAGATTGAAGGGACTGGGGAGGGCCCAATAAGCAATGTGACCTTGCTGTCCTGAACAGCTCTTCTCTTCTGTCCCATATCTACCCTCTTTTGGGGTGGGCGAGAGAGGAGGTAAAACGGGGGAGCATAATTCATATTCTGACTAGAGTTGTCCCTCTTCCACATCAAAGCATATTTATTCAGTGTTCCATACCCTACTGCATGCTGATGTGATGATGTTTTTCATGCTTCCTTTTAGATGAAAATTTCATTCTAAAAGGGATATTCTGCTCATCAACTGACAAATGGATAAATATATCATCCCATTCTCTACTGATCTGCAAGGTCTCTGGCTGAGACATCCACTGATAGCCTTATGAAGTTCCCTTGTATGAGAACTTTTTTTTTTTTCTTGCTCCTTTTAAAATTCTTTGCCTTTGATTTAGACCATTTTATTATCTCTTGTCTTAGAGAAGAATGTTTTGCATTGAAATTTTGGGATGACATGTTAGCTTCACAAACTTGGATATCCAAATCTCTCCCTAGAACTTTGGGACGTTCTTAGCCATTATTTCTTTAAATTAGTTTTCTATCCCACCTTCCTCTCTTTTCCTTCTGGGACTCCAAAGGTGCATACATTGTTTCTCTTAATGGTGTTCCATATGTCCCATAGGGTTTATTCTCATTCTATTTTCTCTTTGCTCCTCTGCTTGGGTAATTTCAACTGATTTGTTTTCTAGCTCACCGATTTTTTTTTCCTGCTTAGTCAAGTCTGCTATTGAAGCTCTCTGTTTAATTCTTCAGTTCAGTCATTGTATTCTGCTTCAAAATTACTTTAAATTCTTTTTTATGCTTTTTATCTCTTTGTTGAACTTATCTTGTTCTTGTATTGTTTTACCAATAACATTATATTATTTATCTGTGTTCTCTTGTAGCTCTCTGAACATCTTTGGAACATTTATTTTTAATTCTGTCAGGCAATTCCTGGATCTCCATTTCTTTTGGTCCAGTTACTGGAAGTTTACTGTATTCCTTTGTTGGAGACATATTCCCCTGATTCTTCATGATCCCTATAGCCTTGTGTAGGTATCTGCACATTTGAAAAAGCAGTCCCTTCCTCCAGACTTTATGGACTGACTTCGGTAAGGGACGATTTTCACCAGCAGGTAGAGGCACGCTGGAGCATGTTGTGTCCCCAGTGGTACAGGGCACCAAGTGCAAAGGCGTGTGGTAGCACAGGGCCCAGGGGAGCATGATGTCTTTTTGGCTCAGGACACAGGAGTCCACAGAATCAACAACTCTGTGGGCCTTGACAAGCACGGCAGGGTGTTTTCAGTGGCTGGAAAGGCTGTTGGAGTCTTTAGTGGCACCTCTAGTTTCAGTGGCTAGGGACCAGGGTAGGTAGCAGTGGTGGCCAAAGCCTAGTCATATACTAGGCTGCAGAAGGTCAGCTGTAGAGGGAGGGTCCAGCTGCCAACACTCAGTGGTGGAGGGGGCCAGGGAATGCAGCAAGGGCTAGTGCCAACTACATACTCACTGGCAGTGGCAGGGTCTCTAGTTGTTGGTGTGCACTACCATGGTTTCTGGATCTTGCCAAGGACAAAATAGAGGCCAGAGAGAGGGGTCTCTCCAGAGGTATACAGGTACACAGTTGGAGTGGCTAGCTGCAGGTGTGTGCAGTGGTACAGGCCAGTGATAGAAGACACAGCCAGATCCAGGCCCACAAGCAGTTGTGTGTGGGGGAGAGGAAGGGGTGGCTATTGGTATGCTCTCTTGTGGCTATACAATCGCCCCCAGGTGCACGTACTACAGTGGAAGTTGCTGATGAGTGTCAGGCCTGCAGTACGCAAGTGCACTGCTGGAGGAACTAGCCTCAGTGTGTGCGCAGCAGTGGAGGTCAACTGCAGAGATCTAGGCTGGCATCTTTCATTTTTGCAGCTGCAGAAGCCTGCACTGGCTGCCAGTATGGTTCTGGGTGGGAGCAGGGGAGAATACAAGAAAGGAATCAGGCAGCAGTCATCAGCAAACAGGAATACCTCTGGTGTGAAAGCTGGTGAAATCTGCAGGATATTGATGGCACCGGTGCTAGCCATTGGTTTCTTCAGTAGTGCAAATTGCTGGGCTTGTCTGCAGAGCAGATCACCAGGCACCTCAACCATTCCTGTTACATGGCTGCTATTGTAGCCCCTGATTTTCTTCCTATTCCTAGCCATGTCTATATGCCTCAGCTTTGCCAGTCTGGGTGGTGTGAATCCAAAGTGGGACTTGTGTGCGATGCCCCAGAAGGCTGGTGCCGCACTCTGCTCTTCCTTTCCCAGTGAGGAAACTCTCTCTAGCTTGGAAGTACCCCTCGACATTAAGCAGATCTGGCTTGGGCAGTGGAACGATGCAGGCAAAATGAAGATGTCTTCCTTTTCTTCGTGTGGTATTATTCTCAGGGTTTTTTGTTCTACTGTGTTGCTTAAGTTTCTTGAGTGGACTCCAGACCTCTCCCAGAACTGTTTTTGTTCATAAATAGCTTTTCGAATTGTTGATCTTTTGGGGGGAATGAAGCTGAGGATTCCTATGCCACTGTTGAGTTCTTGTTTTTTATAAATGGATAAATAAAATGTGATATATCCATACAACAGATATGATAGCTACAACTTGGATAAATCTTGAAAACATGTAATGTAAAAACAGTCCATCACAAAAGACTACATATTGTAGATTTCACTTACATGAACTGTCCAGAAGAGGCACTATACTATAGTGACTATAGAGACAGAAATAGATTAGTGGCTGCCTTAGGCTGAAGAGGAAGAGGGTGGAGGAGAAATGGGGAGTGACTCTTAATGGGTCTGGTCAGAATAAATGTTCTGGAGCTAATGAAAATGGTCTAATTGTGGTGATGTTTGTACAACACTGTGAATATATTAAAAAACACTGAATAGTACACTTTAAATAGGTGAATTGTATGGTGCTGTGAATTATGTCTCAATAAAGCTGTTACGTAGAAAAAGAATCTTGGGAGATAAAATGCCTTCATTTCTTGACTCAGAACTTATTGGGAGTCTATAATGTGCCAGGCACTTGCTAGAGGCCAGAGATAGAAGTTCCGACAAGACTCAGTTCCTATCCTTAGGAAGCTTACAGCATGGTGGCTAGAAAATTAAATGGGCATTCATAATAAAAGGATTTTGCTGGAGGGGCTTCAGAGGTAGGAAACATTTGGGGTTGATGGCCTTCTGGAACCCTTAAAATCACTTCCACATGAACAACAACCTTTGTGGCCTATATAATGTGATAGCTAACAATCGAACAGCCTTTTTGAGTTATAAATACTTTTATATATATTGGTGCTGTATGACTTGCCTATAAAGTAGATAACACTTTCTGAATTTTACATAGAGGTTTTGGGGTTTATTCTTGATCGCACAGCTAATAAGCAATAAAACCAGGAGTCAAGTACTCAAAAACTTATTATGGTTCTAATGTACTCCATACTACCTCCTCCTCCCATGTATTTATGTGGCTTGATGATCCATCCATCCAGTACTCAAGCCAGAAATCTGCTTACCTTTTACCCCCACATCAATCAGCCATGAGTCTAGAGAGCCTCTTGCCCTAATATCTTTTCTATCTCTATATCTTGTTCAGGGTCCCGTCATTTCTTCTATTTCTTGGAAAACAGGACTCTGTCATCACCTCCTTCAACTCAACCTACATATGGCTAGCAGAGAGAATTTTCTAGAATATTAACTAAGTCTCTGAACCTGTTATTGCCCTACTAAAAACCTTCAATAACTCACCATTTCTTCAGGATAAAGTTTAAAATTTAGCATATGCGGACCTTCATGCTCTGACCCCAACCTCTCTATTCCTCTATGTACACTGGATGAAATTCCCTGACTCCTGAATAGTCATGCTGTTTTCTGTCTGGAATATGTAACCTTTATCTCTATCTAGCTAACTGAACTTCATCCTTCAAGATTTAACTTGTTGAAAATTTATATCCACACTAAACCGGCACATAGATGTTTATAGCAGCTTTATTCATAATTGCCAAAAGTTGGGGGCAAACAAAATGTCCTTGAGTAGGTAAATGGATAAACAAACTATGATACATCCAGACAATGGACTATTATCAAGTGATAAACAGAAATGAGCTATGAAAAGACATGGAGAAACTTAACTGCTTATTATTAAGTGAAAGAAGCCCATTTGAAAAGGTTAAATATGTGTGGTTCCAACCATATGATATTCGGGAAAAGGCAAAACTATAGAGACAATAAAATAGTCAGTGATTGCCAGGGTCTGGGGTAAGGTGGAGAGGGATGAACAGGCTGAGACAGAAAATTTTTAGAGAGGTGAACATTCTCTGTGTGATACTATAATGGTAGCTACATGTTATTAGACATTTGTCCAAACCCATAGAATGTAAAACACTGAGAGAACATAAGGTAAAATATGGGCTTTACATTTGTACAATTGTAACAAATATACCTCTCTGGTGAGGGGTGTTGATAATGGGGAAGGCTATGCATGTATTGGGCAGAGGGTATATGGGAAATCTCTGTACCTTCCTTTCAATTTTGCTCTGAACCTATAACTGCTCTAAAAATATTGTCTTTTTAAAAAAAAAATGTTTAGCCCAGCCAGTGTGGCTCAGTGGTTAAGCGTCGACCCATGAACCAAGAGGTCATGGGTTCAATTCCTGGTCAGGGCACATACCCAGGTTGTATGTGCAGGAGGTAGTGGGGGATGTGAAGGAGGCAGCAGATTGATGTTTCTCTCTCTCTAAAATCAATAAAGAAAAATATTTTTTAAAAATAACAAAAAACGGTTAAACTTAGGCACTTCCTCCCAGAAGTCTACATTAGATGCCCCTCTTCTGAGCTTCCTTAGTTAGCATCTTCTATCATGATATTTATTCCTACACAACCATTGATTTATCTGTCTGTCTCCTCCCTCTGAACTATAAGCATGTTGAAGGTAGATTCTGTGTGTTATTGGTCTTTAATTTCCCCTGCAGGTGTTTAATACATGTTTTCGGGATAATGCACTTAAAAAAATGCCTCCACAAAAATGGGACTCCTAAGTCTCAGGAGAAGAGGATCAGTAATCTCTTCAGGCAATGGGGAGACAATGAATAAAATTTCTAACTTAAACACCTAGTTCCTGTTAATAGAAAAGTTCTTTAATCATTATTTTCATCACTAATCATTATTTTAATTATGTTCACTGTCATAACCAAAAAACTAACATATCACTTCAATGATAACAGGTTCATTGTATGAAAACACTCGATCTGAAGATTCTAAGTGAGGGAAAGTTCACTTAGTTCCCAGTATTAACTATTCCTTATAGGGAGAGTCAAAGAATCTGACAGCTCTCTATCCTGGACCCCCAAGTATATCATCTGCAGAGATAAAAGGTACTATGTACAGCAGTCTCTTATTGCATCAGGAAGACCACTACAGTGGGAAATTACTGTGGAATTTCCTTGTCTTTGATAACTCTTTAAAACCAAGTTTTGCAATATTATTCAAGAGTAGGCCATCTTCAGTATACAGGTAGTAAGGGTTGCTTTCATACAATGGACCATTATTCATGAACAGTCTTTGTCAACATATGCTTCCTGTAGCTATTGGTTAAAACTAGGATATAGCTGTTGGCTTTATCAGGGCTAGAATAATAATCTACAATTGCCAAGTGCTTTAGGTTTGAAAGCTCTTTCACACCTACCAAGGTGGAGATAGTGCCAAAGGTTAGACCTCTTGGCAAGTTGTCAGTGGTTTAATAATGTTGCATTTGTTTGCATGCATAAAGGGGTGGAGGTGGAGCAAATATTGATGGAAAAAACACTTCTGCAACCTATGCCCTAGTAGTTCTTTCCCATTCATTTAATCTACAAATATACTTTAGTTAAATATTTACTGAGTATTTATTAAGTACCGGTCACTATGCTAAATATTAGGGATTCAATTTTAGTAGTTATAACATACACCATATTATTTATTTTTTTCTATCTTTATTGTTGATGTTCCTCATTTTTCCCCTATTGACTACCTCCTCCCCACTCCCATCCCCCTCCTGCCTTTTCCCACACTGTTTCTGTGTTCATTGGTTATGCGTATAACTTCTTTGGTTTATTTCTTCCCACCCCCCAAACCCCTTCTCTTTGAGGTTTGTCCGTCTAGCAGCCAATTTGTTCTTCTTAATTCCTTCACCCTTTTCACCCATTCCCACAACCCCCCTCCCATGTGCCAACCAACAAAATGTTCTCTGTATCTATGAGAATGTTTCTGTCCTGCCTGTTCAATTTGTTTGTAGATTCCATTGTTGATAGATATATATTCATTGCCATTTTGTTTGTTCATATAGTTTATCTTTTTCTTCAAAAAGACCCTTCAACATTTCATATAATAACGGTTTGGTGGTGATGAACTCCTTTAACTTTTTCTTGTCTGGGAAACTCTTTATATGGCCATCGATTCTAAATGACAGCTTTGCAGGATAGAGTAAACTTGGTTGTAGGTTTCTGCTTTTCATCGCTCTGAATATCTCTTGCCACTCCCTTCTGGCCTACAAAGTTGCTTTTGAGAAATCAGCTGACAGTCTTATGGGAACTCCCTTGTAGGTAACAACTGCTTCTCTCTTGCTATTTTTAAGATTCTCTCTTTGTCTTGAACCTTTTGCATTTTGATGATGATGTGTCTTGGTGTGGGCCTCTTGGGGTTCATCTTGTTTGGGACTCTCTGTGCTTCCTGGACTTGTATGTCTGTTTCCTTCACCAAGTTAGAGAAGTTTTCTGCCATTATTGTTTCAAATAGGTTTTCAACTTCTTGCTCTCTCTCTTCTCCTTCTGGCACCCCCAGGATGCGAATGTTGGCACGCTTGAAGTTGTCCCAGAGGCTCCTTACACTATCCTCATTTTATTGCTTTCTTTTTGCTGTTCTGATTGGGTGGTTTTTGCTTCCTTGTGTTCCAAATCAATGGTTTGCTTCTTGGCTTTACCTACTCTACTATTGAATCTGTGAAAATTATTCTTTATTTGTTAGTGCCTCCTTCATTTCTGACTGTACCTCCTTCAATTCTGACTGGTCTTTTTTAATGCTCTTGAGGCCCTCACTCAGTTCATTGAGCATCTTTATAAGCAGTATTTTGAACTCAGCATCTGTTAAGTTGCTTATCTCCACTTCACTTAAGTTCTTTTCCTGGAGATTTTTTTTGTTCTTTCATTTGGGACCTGTTTCTTTGTCTCCTCATTTTGGCTGCCTCCCTGTGTTCGTTTCTATGCATTACTTAATGAGAGGTATGGGGCTATCTGAGACCAGATGCTGCTTATTTGAAAGAATTTAGGAAAACCTGAAGCAGGATCCAAGACAGGCCAATCCTATGGTAAAGCAACTGGCAACAGCTTGGGTGGGCCTGAAAGTTGGGTGAGGCGGGGCCTCAGGGAATCACCAGGGCAGGGCAACCAGTGTGAGCCAGGTTGCTGCAGTCCCAGATATGGCTTCTGTCTGCCGCCCCCGGGAAGGGCTCACCAAAGGAACAATGGCCTCTGACAGCACGTTTGTCCCGGAGAAAGCCCCCTCTCCAGCCCTCGCTCCAGTGCCAAACAGCTCAGTTCTTCCCTGTATGTCTCTGGCGCCCCTCGAGCTTCCTCCCCTCCAAGCTTAGAGGGAGTGAGTCCGATAAGTCCCTGCGCGGGCTTTTTAAGAGGAGCTGCCTGGGGCTCCAGCTGCCTCAGCTTCCCTGAGCCTCAGTTCCCGCTGGTTTTTCCAGCCAGAAGTTATGGGAACTTCTCATCCTGGCACTGGAACCCTGAGCGGAATGGTGTGGAATGGGGACCCCTCTGTCCTCAGGGAGGACCTTCCCAGCCGAGGTGTCCTCCTGATTTTTATCGGCCACACGTGGGTGTGGGACCAGCCCGTCTGCCTCCGTCCCTCCTACCAGTCTTGATGTGGCTGCTTCTTTAATTCTGTAGTTGTAGGACTTCTGTTCAGCTCGATTTCAGGTGGTTTTGAATGATGGTTGTTCTGTAGTTTAGTTGTAACTTTGATGTGATTGTGGGAGGACACGATACTGCATTTACCTACCCCGCCATCTTGACCGGAAGTCACACACCATTTTATTTTTAATCATTATCCATACCTATAAACAATAAATCCTACAGAATTTCCAAATGTCTTCTCTGAGGCTTGGCTTGCACATAATATTTAACTCATGAATGGACAACTCTCAGGATAAGTTAAATAGAAAAAAAATGCACAAATTGAACTCTTATCAAGAGAAAGATATTTAATTTTATCATTTACCATAATGTGAATTTTGAATCTTTATATTAAGCTTTTTTCCTTTGGAAAAAATATATTGCCAACCTCCATGCCTGAGGACCCTCCATGGCTCCAGTTATCAAAACATGTGTTCATAACTATGTCTCAGATAGAATGTACTGTAAACTTGAACGTGGAGAAACTGCACTCAGTGGTTGTCTGCGAGGACGGGGGGGGGGGGGGGGGGGGGCCGAGAACCAGACTTTCACTGTGTATACATTTTGGTTGTTTGATTTGTGTGTGTGTGTGTGTGTGTGTGTATGTATATGTATATATGTGTGTACACACACACACACACACACACACACACACACTCTGGTCCAGGGAAGCCAGCAGGTGCAGCTGCAGACCCTGAGCCAACCACAAGGGTCGCGCCCACACCCCCACACTGTGCCCTTGGCCTCGGGTGCGCGCCTGGGTGAGTGGGGCGGGGGCGCCGTGGGACTAGAGCTCTCTCCCCGGCTCAACGCGGCCACCGGGAGCTGGAGCCACCGCCAGGAGAGGCTCGTGTCTCCCGCCTGTACCCGGCGGCCCGCGCTCGCAGTTGTTGGGAAGCAGCTCCGGGTTGCAGGGCAGGAATGTGCTCCCCTCCTCTCCCATCCCCCGCAAACTTTCGGCAGCTGCAGCGGAAGCAGGAACTTGCGAACCACAAACCAGCTGGGCCAGGAGGGAGCTGCGGGAGCATCCCTGCCCTCCTCACCGAGACCGTCGCGCGGACTCGCCGCTGCTTCCCCGCGAGCGCATCGGAGCCCTGCTCGCACCGGTGGGCCCCAGGGGCTCCGGGGCCCCCTCGCCGCCAGGTAAAGGCGTCCCAGTCCTCCCCCCCGGATCGGCCCCAGGCAGCATCGCCGCCCCTCCTTGCCGGGTAGGCAGCTCCACCCGTCCAGGAGCAAGTGAGGAAGCAGGCAGAGGCGAAGGAGGGTTGGCTGACCCGGATATTTGAGGCGCTGCGGTACCCCAGAAAGGCTTCCCAGGCAGGCCAGGGGCACCTGTCATAACGCACTGGCTCCGCGTCGTCATCAGGACAGGCAGAATAGTTCAGTGAGCGACATAATTTCCTCAAAGGAAGGGAAAATTTCCCCCCTTTTTTTTCTTGTATAATTTCTGTCCGGTATTCATTATCAAAACTACTAATAGTCTAATACTCTGTAGGGTGTGTGTGTGTCTGTGTTGATAGATTAGATTATGCTGAAGATAAATGATTCCCAGTACTTGACATAGTTATATACATGTAAGCAAGCATTAAAGCTCAGGTGCTTCCTCTCCCACCCACCTGTTTCCTTTTCCCTGCATCTTTCAACAAGATTAAACTTGACTTTAGAACTTTAAGGCCTAAATAATAATGGCTAAGAAGATTAATTTACCTCATAATTGTTGAGTATATTTAACGAGATAAATATCTTCAGTACTTCTCACTGTCCAGGAGCTACAAAGATGTTGCATACTGAGAACCAGCTCCTACCCCATCCCCTTGCATAGTTCAGGTTTCCTTGCAAGAGTTTCAGGATAACATTCAACCAACCGAGCCACATCAGCCATATTGTTACATTTTAAACATTTTTTGGTATATTTTGGCTACCTGCCCTTTATCAGATATGTTTTGTAAATGTTTTCTTCCAGTCGGTAGCTTGTCTTTTTCTTAACAGTGTCTTGCATAGAGAAGTTTTTAATTTAATTTAATTTATTGGTACATGCCCCTAGCGGGAACCAAACCCGGGACTCTCTGGTCTGCAGGCCGACGCTCCAACCGCTGAGCCAAACAGGCCAGGGTGAGAAGTTTTTAATTTTAATGAAATGCAACTTATCAGTTTTTCTTTCATGGATTGCGTTTTTAGTATTGTATATAAAAACTCATTGTCTATTCTAAGTTCACAAAAATATTCTCCTATGTTATAATCTAGGAATTTGATAGTTTTACATTTTACATTTATGATCTATTTTGAATTAATTTTTGTGAAGATGGGAGATTTGTGTCCAGGTATTTTTTAAAATTTGTTTGTTTTGCATGTGGATGACCAATTATTCCAGCACCATTTTTGAGAAAGCTATCCTTTCTCCATTGAATTGCCTTTGCTCCTTTGTCAAAGATTAGTTGACTATATTTGTGGGGGTCTATTTCTGGGCTCTCTATTCTGTTGCATTGATCTATTTGTCTACTCTTTCACCCATACCACACTGTCTTGATTATTGAAATTGGGTAGTGTCAGTTCTCCAACCTGATCCTTCAGTATTGTGTTGGCTATTCTGAGCCTTTTTGCATTTCTATGTAAACTACAGAATCAGTTTGTCGAGAATCACAAAATAAGTTGCTGGGATTTTGATTGGACTTATGTTGAATCTATAGATCAAGTAGGGAATCTATAGATCAAGAGTTGGTATTAGGATTAAATAGGAGAATATATATGTAACTGAAATGTTAACTATTGATGAACATGGAATAGCTCTCCATTTATTTAGATCTTCTTTGATTTCTTTCATCAGTTTTGTAGGCTGATTTAACAAACTACTTTGATAATTATATTTCAATATAACTGACTTGCTTTGTAATCAGTCTTCTATTATTTCATTTTATGTGTTTTAAAACATGTCTCTCAGAAGAGATCCTAAATTTCACCAGACTACCAAAGGGTTCATTAATCCCCCCACCAAAAACAAAGAAACATTAATTCTGCTCTAGGCTATCATTCAGTGAATAATTTGATTTCTGGAAATGTGGGGATGAGTCGGTGAGGATAGTTTATGGTATTGCATTGCCAGGTTAACATTTATTCTTATTTTTCCTAGAAGAACCAGCTTACCAGTGGAGTTGGCATTACACATTGTATGACTTTTGTGTTTTTAGGAATGTCAAAAAGAACACTTGCCCCTAAACTTTCCTTCAGTTGAGCCATAATATTCCCCCTGCTGACTGGCTAATTCCTAGAATTAGATTATGGGGGTAACTCGCCTCTGGTTTGATACCTAAAGAGAAGGACCAACAAGAAAGTCAACCTCATGTTCCTCATCTATAAAATGAGAAAAATGGTAGCTTTTCTGAAGAGTTGGTATTAGGATTAAATAGGAGAATATATGTAAATGTTTAGCACATTGCCTACCACACAGTAGGTGATTTTATTTATTTATTTATTTATTTATTTATTTATTTAAATCTGGATTTAATGGGATTTTATTTTTTTTAAATATGTTTTTATTGATTTTTCAAAGAGAGATAGAAATATTGATGTGAGAGAGAAATATCCATCGGCTGTCTCCTGCACACCCCCCACTGGGGATTGAGCCCACAACCCAGGCGTGTGCCCCAAACCGGGATCTCTCAGTCCATGGGACAACGCTCAATCCACTGAGCCACACCGGCCAGGCCCAGTAGGTGATTTTAAAATGCTAATTGTTACTACTGAGAAAGGAAATATGCCCAAACCTGTTATCATTGCTTCACCAGTGACCAGGGAGTTTGTGTCCTCTCCCCTTCCAGTCAGAGAGGAAAGAGGAGGACAGATTCCAGCACTCAGAGGCAGGCCTGCTGTTCATACCTCTTCCTTCACAGACACATCAGCTTTTAAGCAGTGATGGGGCAGTATACGTGCTTGTGCTTATTAGTTGTTTGCCAAGTTTTTAATGAAAAGTTGTCTCAAATCTATTAAAAGTGAAATGAATAAAAATGCTTGTTTATTTTTGCCCTATGAATTGTGAATCATTTACATTGACTTAAAGGAAATGAAATGTACCTTTTCGAGATTTGCTAAAAGAAACAAAACTCACTGATGGTTTTCTTTTTGTTCTAGAGAGAAATTTCATCATCTGTGCAATCTTGTTGAAACAAACTAAGATCAGAAGGAGGGTTATCCTTGAGCTTTGAAGACTAAAACTATACCAAAATTTAAAATGTTCTTCAGGGAAGGGCGGAGCTTGACCTACACTTTTGTAATCATTTGTTTCCTGACAGTCAGGCTGTCCACCAGTCAAAATTGTCTTACCCAGAGTCTAGAAGATGTTATCATTGACATCCAGTCATCTCTTACTAAGGGAATCAGGGGCAATGAGCCCATACACACATTGACTCAAGAAGACTGCATTAATTCTTGCTGTTCAACAAAAAACATATCAGGTAAGTAATAGTCCCTTGACAACCCTTTATTCCATATGTTTTGTGACATAAGTAGCTGGTTGATATGGATCAATAGTTTATACTAGTGATTCTCAATGGAATAGAAAGGTAGGTGACAAAATCACCTGGGGATTGTTTCACAGGTGTGCTTTCCCCTCCCCTAAGCTGAGTCAAAGTTAGTGAGGAGTGTGTGTGTGTGTGTGTGTGTGTGTGTGTATTGCTCAGGTGTTTGGGTATAAAAAGGTTGAGAACCACTGGTGTTAGGTCCTAGCAGGCATCTAGGATATTGAAACAGAGATGCTATTTAAATGATTAGCTGTCATCCTCATGGATATTGCAATACAGTTTGATATTACAAAGAACATATAAACCGAGAAAGTGAGTCGAGATGAAAGAAATTCCTAACTCAGCCCGTAGGAAAATCAGCGTTTGATTTTTAAGTAGAAGCATAAAATCTCCATTTTGTCTCCCTTCCCTGGAGCTGGTGGCATAAGGTGAGTCAGGAAGCCACTGGCCACTAATTGAAGTATTTAGGATTCTAAGAGGCATGGGATGTCGTTTAGTCTGACCCATTCATATGACACTGAAGGAAACTAGGCCGCAGGTTTAAACCACGCTGCATATTTCAGGCTCCAAGCCTATTACCTGAAAAGAGAAGTATATATCTAAGTGAAACAATGGTTGATTTTCAATTGTTTATGAACCTGCCCTAATTCCCTAAAGGAAAAAAAAAGCAACAAAATTTGTGGAGGACCCGATGCTTTGCTGGAGATAAAACAATGAATAAGGTGGACAAGGCCTTGCCTTCGGATCCTGGAAATGAGAATGAACACTGGATTCTTACTTGATTTATTAGCCCCCCAAAATCCTGTTTTCTCTTAGATTGTTACTTCCTTTTCTTTCTATAATGGTTGTGATATAGGAAGGGAGGGAGGAAGGAAGGGAGGGAGGGAGGAAGGGAAGAAGGGAGGGAGGGAGGGAGGGAGGGAGGAAGGGAGGGGAAAATATCCTTCCATCACCATACATTTATTCCCTTTACCTTCTTCGGCCTCCCCATCCTTGTTCCCCTCTGGTAATAACCCTTCTGTTTTCTGTATCTCTGAGTTTTTTTTTGGGGGGGGGGCGGTCGTTTATTTTGTTTGTGGCTTTTTGTTTTATATCCTACATGTGAGTGATATCATCTGGTTCTTGTTCTTCTTCATTTACCTTATTTCATTTAGCATAATAGTCTCAAGATCCATGTTGTCAATATGTATTTTTAATAATTAGCCTATATGCCTCTTAACCTTCAGCTTGACCCAGGGCCTACTGATCTTTCAAGGGTCACAGGCCAAGATGTGAGACTGCACTAGATAGAGGTCAAAGCCCACTCTAGGCCATGATAATTAGAATAATTTCTCTTGGACATAAGAGAAGGAGAAGCCAGGAGCAAAAGTTAAGAGTGAAAAATGAGAAAGGAAGGAAAACAGAAATTAAAAAACAGCCCTGGCCAGTTTGGCTCAGCGGTTAGAGCGTTGGCCTGCGGTCCGGAGAGACCCGGGTTCGGTTCCCGCTAAGGGCATGTGCCTCGGTTGCAGTTTGTCCCTGGCCCTGGTTGGTCGTGCGGGTGGCAGCCACTCGATCTGTCCCTTTCACATCGATGTTTCTCTCTCTCTCTCTCTTCCTCTCTCTCCCTCCCACTCTTTCTGTACAAAAAATGGGAAAATGTCCTCGGGTGAAGATAAAAAAAAAAACACATTAAGGAACAGGAGAAATACTAAGAAAGAACCAAAAGAAGAACAGCACTGATAAAAATAAAAAGTAGACTTTGCATTCCACGCACTACTCAGATTCTTTGTGGAAGGAGGCATATTATGTATGATGCTGGATTTGCTGACTCCACCCAAGAAAGCCATGGTTTCATTGGTGTGTGAAATACCTTCTGGATGCAAGAGATAGATGAAATCCTTAGGGTTAGACCCATTTCTTAAGGTCCAACTCAGCTGTGAGTTGTGTAAAGATTGCAAAGTCAGTATTTCTATGTATATTTTTGTGGCTATTTTAGCAAATGGAAGGCTTATTTCTAAAGAATTAAATGTACTATTAAAAATTGGTTTTGCCAACATTACCTTAAGACAGATTTCTAAACCCAATGTCTGTAAACGTCCCTTCCAGGACTAAAGTAAGGAAAAGGAAATGATTCAGCCGTCAGCAAGCAAGTGAACAAAAGTGTTTGTGTTGGACACCAGAATAAATGCAGTTCTTCCTGCTTGCTGTACTCTTTAGAAAATCCTGTTTCAAAATAATGCTTATGAAACCTTTCATTGCAGGGGACAAAGCGTGTAACCTGATGATCTTCGACACTCGAAAAACAACTAGACAACCCAACTGCTACCTATTTTTCTGTCCCAGTGAGGAAGCCTGTCCGCTGAAACCAGCAAAGGGACTTATGAGTTACAGGATAATTAGAGGTAATAAGAACATTATTCTTTTTCGTTTGTGATTGGAAATTACTTAAGGGTATGGCTCATGTGAAAGATTTTCTACAAAATAGTCTAAGTAAAACTGCCAAAAGGCTTGGCCGGTGTGGCTCAGTGGTTGAGCATCGACCCATGCATCGGGAGGTCATTGGTTCGATTCCCAGTAGGGGCACATGACCAGGATGTGGGCCAAATCCCCAGTGGGGGGCATGCAGGAGGTGGCCAATCGATGTTCTCTCTCATCTATGTTTCTATCTCTTTCTACCTCTCCCTTCCCCTCTCTCTAAAATCAATAAAGAAAAAAAAAAACTGCAGGAAGGGGTCACAAATGTAGAGGCATACCAGAAAAATCTCATGATTTAAAATTCAGCCTTTAAACCAGACAGCTTTTTTCCAGTGAAAGATCTCTGAATGGTAGTAATTTTTGTTTTTACCCTCATAAGATAAAAGGTGCACAGATCTTTCATGAAAACACTTTGAAACACCTATTCAGAACCAGGTCAGCAGCACTGGAATAAGTGGATAGGTCTCCAGTTTTGAAAGGGTCAAGACCTTTGTGAATATACAGAATTCTATGTTTGTCATTAGGTTAGAATTATTTTATAATCACATTATCTGAAATTAAACTCATTGGATTTTGTTGTGTAGACCTGGAGAGAAGTTCATTCAAAAATATTAATTGAGTAACTACCATGTGCTAATTTCTGTGCAAGGCATTGGAAATGCAGTCTCCTTGCACATGGAACTTACCTATTTGTTCAGAATACAAAAAACAAACTAGATATAGTATTATATTAATAATATCTGGGTAGATCTTGGTGAGAATTTGACTTGTTAATTTTTCAGGATAAAATGCTTTCAGTATCAAATTTCCTTGAAAGTTTTTGTTCTTAGATCCTTGATTATTATTATTATTTTCTTTATTTAATAAATAATAAGTATTATTTAGTGTCTTCTATGTGCCAAGCACTTTTTATACCCTAGGAATACAAGGATACAACACTAGACATAGAAAACAAGGCACTCACTTCTGAAACATGTTTCAAGAGAGACAGAGACAATAACCATAATAAATAAATAACCAAGAAAATATATCACAAGCGCTATGCAAATAATTGAGCTAAGATCATGTAATAGATAATCCCTGAGTGGATCCTCTGGATTAGGTGATCAGAGGAAGCACCTGTGAAGAAGTAACCCCTACACTAAGATTGGGACAGTAAGAACCTGGATGTGAGAAGATCATGGGACGACCTTCCAGGCAGAGAAAATAGTGTGTGTCAACATCCCAGCTGGCTGACTCACAGTGAACCATATACATAAAGAGTGATATGCCAGAAGTAGCAAAGGTAGAGAGATCACGAAAAGCTTTGTAAGCCAGAGTAGGGTAGGACATTTTTTTAAATTAATTAATTTTTTATTCTCACCCAAGGACATTTTTTCCCCCATTTTTTGTTCAGATAGAGTGGAAGGAAGAGAAAGGAAGAGAGAGAGAGAGAGAAACATCGATGTGAAAGGCACACATCGAGTGGCTGCCACCCGCACAACCCAACCAGGGCCGGGGACAAACTGCAACCGAGGTACGTACCCTTAGCAGGAACCGAACCCAGGTCTCTCTGGACCGCAGGTCGACGCTCTAACCGCTGAGCCAAACCAGCCAGGGCAGACATTTTTATTTTAAATGCGTAATGGGAAGCTGTCGGAAGTTTTTAAAGAGGCGTGGACCATGGTGTTTTAAAGGTGATTTATTTTCTTTCTTTCTTTCTTTCTTTCTTTTTTTCTTTCTTTCTTCCTTCCTTCCTTCCTTCCTTCTCTTCCTTCCTTCCTTCCTTCCTTCCTTCCTTCCTTCCTCCTTCCTTCCTTCCTTCCTTCCTTCTCCTTCTCTCTCTCTCTCTCTCTCTCTCTCTCTCTCTCTCTCTTATACTCACTGGAGGACATTTTTGCACTTATCTTCAGACAGAGTGGGAGGGAGAGGAGGGGGAGAGAGAGAGAAACATCGATGTGAGAGAGACACATCGAGTGGTCACCACCCACACGACCTGAACTGGGTCGGGGACAAACTGCAACCGAGGTACATGACCTTAGCAGGAACCGAACCTGGGACTCCCTGGTCCGCGGGCCGACACTCTAACTGCTGAGCCAAACCAGCCAGCTAAAGGTGATTTCTTAAAGCTCACTGTGACTGCTGTGTTGGGAATGGACAATGACCCAGCAGTAAAAGGGGAAGTGGGAAGACTTGGTAGGAAGTGGGGGTGAGATCTACATGAAAGGCTGTGGCATGGTGGACCAGAGAGGCAGTAGAGGAGATGGAGAGAAGGAAACACAGGGTCTTTTCAGAGGTCGAAGGGACAGAACTTGCTGCTGGCGTGGATGTGGGGGACAAGGAAAGGAGAAGCATCGAAGCTGAGTCCTAGTTTTTGTCTTGAATATCTAGAAGGATGGTGGCACCATCTACTGAACTGAGGAAGATTTGAGAAGTAGCTTTAGGGTTGGGGGGAAAAGTACAACCAAGGGCTCTCTCTTGACAGTATTACGCTGCATGTGAAGTATTTTGGGGAATGATACCGCTCAGGGCACCTGGACACTGACTGCTTTGTCCCCTGCATGGGGCTGTCTGAGTTTTGTTCATGAACCAGGAAATCCAGATGTATCAAACATTTCCTTAAACAGATTATTTGTGTAAATTTTTCCTAAATAGTGATATGAGCCCAAGTATAAACAGACTGGCTCATAAGATACAAAGTTTCAGTTTTGCAAGATGAAAAAATATTCTGGAGTTGGATGATGGTGACACAACAGTGTGAATATACTCAGTGCCACTTAAAAATGGTTAAAGTGGTAAATTGTATGTATATTTTACCACAATTAAACAATTTGCTGAAAGACTATGGCAAATTTGCTAAAAGACACATCGAGTGGTCGTCACCCACACGACCCGAACAGATTAGATTTCTCAAAACACTCAAGACTGTACCTTGTGTGGGCAGTGTCTTGTCCTCCTCCTCCCCTTTTGGGGCTTCAGTGGCCAGGGTGGCTGCCCCTGACCTGTGTGGCTCCTTCACTTCTCTTGCCTGTATGCATCTAGTCTTGGCTAAAAACACAGGATGTGCAGGGTGGCATGGATATGGCTTCTAGATGTTCCTCCTTGATCACCTGGAACATTGCAGAACCTGTTAGACACCCAGGGGTGGAATCCAGCAGGAACTGGATATGCCCGTCTGAGTTTCTAAAGAGGTCGGGGCTTAAGACATGGATTGGAATGTTTGCTGTTCTCCTTCAGCAGCTCCCATCGTGTGGAAGCTGGACCATCACATTCCACCTCTATTATCTCAACCAAATTTTGGAAATCTGGCCCTGGCTGGTTTGGCTCAGCGGTTAGAGCGTCGGCCTGCGGTCCGGAGAGACCCGGGTTCGGTTCCCGCTAAGGGCACGTACTTCGGTTGCAGTTTGTCCCCGGCCCTGGTTGGTCGTGCGGGTGGCAGCCACTCGATGTGTCCCTTCACGTCAATGTTTCTCTCTCTCTCTCTCCCTCCCACTCTATCTGTACAAAAAATGGAAAAATATCCTCGGGTGAGGATTAAAAAAAAAAAAAAATTTTGGAAATCTGCAGTTTGGGACATGTTACATAACCCTCAAAAAGACATTTATAACAGTTTCAAATGCAGAGTCACTATACATGGTGGGCATGAGTAAAGATAACAAAAAAGGATTTTTCCTCTTCACATTCCACCTCTATTATCTTATTCCCTTCACCTTTTTCACCCATTCCCACAAACCCCCTCCCATCTGGCAACCAACAATGTGTTCTCTGAATCTATGAGATTGTTTCTGTTCTGCCTGTTCATTTTGTTTGTAGATTCCATTGTCAATAGATATGTGTTCATTGCCATTTTGTTTGTTCATATATTTTATCTTTTTCTTCAGAAAGACCCTTCATCATTTCATATAATAAAGGAGTTCATCACCACCAAACCGTTAACTTTTTCTTGACTGGGAAACTTTATATGGCCATCGATTCTAAATGACAGCTTTGCAGGATAGAGTAATCTTGGTTGTAGGTTCTTGCTTTCCATTACTCTAAATATTTCCTGCCACTCTCTTTTGTCCTGCAAAGTTTCTTTTGAGGAATCAGCTGACAGTCTTATGGGAACTCCCTTGTAAGTGACTAACTGCTTTTCTCTTGATGCTTTTAAGATTCTCTCTTTGCCTTGAACCTTTTGCATTTTGATGATGATGTGTCTTGGTGTGGACCTCTTGGGGTTCATCTTGTTTGGGACTCTCTGTGCTTCCTGGACTTGTATGTCTGTTTCCTTCACCAAGTTAGGGAAGTTTTCTGCCATTATTGTTTCAAATAGGTATTCGACTTCTTGTTCTCTCTCTCCTCCTTCGGAAACCCCCAGGATGCGAATGTTGGCACACTTGAAATTGTCCCGGAGGCTCCTTATACTATCCTCATTTTTTTGGATTCTGTTTTCTTTTTGCTGTTCTGATTGGGTGGTTTTTGTTTTTTGTGTTTTTTTGCTTCCTTGTGTTCCAAATCAATGGTTTGCTTCTTGGCTTTACCTACTCTACTATTGAATCTGTGTAAATTATTCTTTATTTCAGTTAGTGCCTCCTTCATCTCTGACTGTGCCTCCTTCATTTCTGACTGGTCTTTTTTAATGGTCTTGAGGCCCTCACTCAGTTCATTGAGCATCCTTATAAGCAGTATATTGAACTCAGCATCTGTTAGGTTGCTTATCTCCATTTCACTTAGTTCTTTTCCTGGAGTTTTGTTCTGTTCTTTAATTTGGGACCTGTTTCTTTGTCTCCTCATTTTGGCTGCCTCCCTGTGTTTGTTTCTTTGAATTACTTAATGAGAGGTATGGGGCTATCTGAGACCAGATGCTGCTTGTTTGAAAGAATTTAGGAAAACCTGAAGCAGGATCCAAGACAGGCCAATCCTATGGTTAAGCAACTGGCAACAGCTGAAAGTTGGGTGGGGCGGGGCCTCAGGCAATCACAAGGGCAGGGCAAACAGTATGAGCCAGGTTGCTGCAGTCCCAGATATGGTGGCTGTCTGCCGCCCCAGGGAAGGGCTCACCAAAGGAACAAAGGCCTCTGACAGCATGTTTGTCCCGGAGAAAGCCCCCTCTCCAGCCCTCGCTCCAATGCCAAACAGCTCGGTTCTTCCCTGTATGTCTCTGGTGCCCCTGGAGCTGCCTCCCCTCCAAGCTTACAGGGAATGAGTCCGATAAGTCCAAGCACGAGCCCTTTAAGAGGAGCTGCCTGGGGGCTCCAGCCGCCTCAGCCTCCCTGAACCTCAGTTCCCACTGGTTTTTCCAGCCAGAAGTTAAGGGGATTCTCTTCCTGGCACTGAAACCCTGAGCGGGCCGCCTGGTGTGGGACGGGGACCCCCAGTCCTTAGGGAAGGCCTTCCTAGCCCAGGTATCCTCCTTATTTTTATCTGCCACACGTAGGTGTGGGACTAGCCCATCTGCCTCTACCCCTCCTACCAGTCTCGATGTGGCTGCTTCTTTAATTCCGTAGTTGTAGGACTTCTGTTCAGCTTGACTTCAGGTGGTTTTGAATGATGGTTGTTCTGTAGTTTAGTTGTAACTTTGATTTGGTTGTGGGAAGGCGTGATACTGCATTTACCTACACCGCCATCTTGATCGGAAGTAAAAAATACAGATAATTTTAATCTAGTAATTCTACTCCCATAAAATCTACACTAAAGAAACAATACCTAAACAAGAAAAACTATCGATGTGAAACTGTTTACTGTAGAATTAGTCTAAGAAATGAAAAACCTAGAAACAGCATAAACGTCCAACTGCCTGATCATGTTTGGGTGTAAAGGAGGGTGCAGACACTGAAAAATAAGTTTAAGGTATAGAACTAAGCAAATTCACCTAAATTTCTGGTGAAAAACATTCAGTTGTTTTTCAATTACATGAGAAAAAATTTTAACTTAAAGGTATGCAGACATGTTAATAGTGGCTGGGACATGATGATAGAAATTATAGTTGAATTTGTTTTCATTTTCATAATACTTTGGAAATGTTGTTGCTTTTATAATGTATGTATAAAAGGGAGTGTGTGGTAAAGATTCTCTCCATTGGAAATGAAAGAAAAGGGAACTTGGGCTGTGCATAAACCTTTTAAAGGCTAGTGTAAAGGTAATGAAGTAGACTTAGGATCAAACAGTTCTTCTGGCAGCCACCAGGGGGTGTCATCAGCCCAAAGCAGATTGATTAACAGCTAGGTGCAAAGTGGCTCCAAAAAGCGGACTGTTTATATCTACAGGATGTTTACAACTTGTATGTCTAATTCTATTTATGAATCTGCTCATGTTGATGGATTGAGATTACCCATAAAAGTAAATTATCCACCTCCTGTTCAGAGTGAAATTAAATGCCTGTTTGGTGGTATGTTTCTGGATGAACTCTATTTCCTATAAATTATTGACTAATATTTACAGACTGAAAGTTTGAAAGGTGGCAGTATATGCTATTCCTCCTGTAAAACCATTGCAGCTTGGCATCATTACATTTTTTTTTCAGCTTGTAGGATATCATTTTTACCAAGGACTGGAATAAGGGAATTCTAAAGTAGAATGAATTGGGAGTAGGCCTGCTCGGCTGGTTTTCAAGTAATAGTCCCTAAGTATTTTACTTAGTGAAGTTACTTAAAAATGAAACTCAAAAGAGGGGTTGAGGGCACAGGGCTGTTTCCTAGCTCCCTCTGTGACTCATTTTCCCATGACTGAGAGAAAGCACCATGCCCCAATGGCAAACTTAAGTGGGTGAGGTCAGCGGAGCAGGTGTGCAGGATCCCTGTATGGTTCTCGGATCTTTGCCAATAGATGAATTTTATCAGGAAATGGGACCAGCACTTTCTTTGCTTTATTTATGAGCTTGCATTCTTGAGAAAGAAACAGCTGTTTTGGTCATTTTTGTCAATGGCCTTATTTAAGTCCTGAGTTCACATATATCACAGAGCACTTCCTTAGTCTTTCTTTTTAACTTTAAAATGAAATATGTTGAATGCTGCTCTTTTTTAAAAATATCTGATCCTCCCTAATATAGAGATGCTGTTTATCTCGTGGTGATGTGATGCCTGCGATTATATCACCTGCAGCAGAAATTCTTTTTCTCAGCATTGTTGGAGGAAAGAGGAATTCCAGGCACCTAAATTCTGTTTTAGAGGAAAGTACTATATCCTTGAGCAGGTGTCCACAAACTTTTTTTTTTTTAATCCTCACCTGAGGATATTTTCTCAAATATCTTCAGATAGAGTGGGGGGGGTGGGAGTGGGGAGAGAGAAACATCAATGTGAGAGAGACACATCGACTGGCTGCCTCCCGCACAACCCAACCAGGGCTGGGGACGAACTGCAACAGAGGTACATGCCCTTGGCCGGAATTGAACCTACAACTCTTTGGTCCACTGGCTGACACTCTAACCGCTGAGCCAAATTGGCCAGGGCAGGTGTCCACAAACTTTTTAGGTCAAGGGCCAAATAATAAGTGTCTTACACTTTTTAGGCTGGTATTTTAGGTTTTGTGAGTCTTATGCAATCTGTGGTATTTAATCACCTCTGTCCTTGTAGTATGAAAGCAGTGATAGACTATGTGTAAACAAATGAATGTGGCTGTGTGCTGATAAAACTTTATGGACACTAACATTTGAATTTCATTTGAATTTCATGTCATTTTCATGTGTCACAAACTTTTTTTTTTTAACCACTTAAAAATGTAGAAACCATTCTTTTTTTTATCCTCACCCAAGGACATTTTTTTTGTTTCTTTTTTTTTTTGTTCAGATAGAGTGGGAGGAAGAGAGAGAGAGAGAGAAACATGAACTTGAAAGGGACACATCGAGTGGCTGCCACCCGCACGACCAACCAGGGCTGGGGAAAAACTGCAACCGAGGTACGCGTCCTTAGCGGGAACCGAACCCGGGTCTCTCTGGACCACAGGCCAGTGCTCTAACTGCTGAGCCAAACCGGCCAGGGCTAGAAACCATTCTTACCACACAAGCCACACAACCACGAGTGACGGGCCAGATTTGGGCCATAGACCATAACTTGTGGACCCCTGTCCCAGGTAGATTAATACATGACAGTTCCATAGGACCTCTTTGAGGTATGAAGCTTAGAGAGTGGTCAAAGATATTACAAATCTGGATCTTTGTTAGGACAGAGGAGAGAGAGGTCTCGTTTAGAAACTGGCATGGAGGAGACTTGAAGAAGGAAAGAGGAAAGAGAACAAGGGAGAGTTAATAAGTAAATGCCAGGAAATTCCTTTGCTTCCTTCCTTGTGTTTTCTGTAGTTATCACCAAAGTGAAATGATTAGTTAAGTAGCAGAGTAGGTCAAATGATCATTCCCTGTCCTGTGTGAACAAACCTTTGCAGTTTGAGCTGTGGTCAGTGGTGTGTGTGACTAAGCACGATTCTAAACCTTCTCACACATGAGGAGGATCTGAGGCTGGTTCCTCTTCAGTAGGAATCAGGACTGTGTGATTTTCTGCTCTTGATGTCAGCAACATGGCCATCATGATTTCAAATATTGGTCCCATTGTCCTCAGAACCTAAGATATTGGCTCTAAAATTTTAATCTTTGAGAGTTCAAATTAAATCTCCCAGGTGGCCTCTCTCCCCTGACTGTGATGCTGAAACTTATTTATTTATTTTTTAATTGAAAAATGTCATCAGCTGCGTTGGCCTCCATGCCTTCTGAGGAGACCAGAACCTCCCGGCCTCCTCCCCCAGCCCCTTGTCATAACAAATCACCAGGACTCCGCCTCCTCTCATCATTGTCCCATGGCCTCTACATACCCTTCTTGCCTGGCCCTGCCCCCACTGTTAATCTCTCCAAGGACTGCTTGCTCCCCAGCTGTCATCACATCCCAGCTGGCACGGCCTGCAGGAGCTCTGACCTCCCACGGGAAGTTCTTCTCCCCGGCTCTGCCACAGCACCCCGCCCAGCCTTCTTCCACGGCCTTGGCCCCTACAGCGTCTCCATCTTCCTACATCTCTTGCTGCCCTTGCTGAGGTCCTCTTTGAGTCCCTCCTCTTACCTCTTCCTTTATTTGCTGATCCTCCTCCACACATTCCGCTTCTCCTCTGTCCCGACACTCTAGAAATAAACCACAGCATCTGGTAGAGAGGCCTGTCATCGGGTTCTGATTTAGCAATTTGTATTTTTCCATTTTGCACAAGTTTCAATGAAATGTCAAGTATCAGCAGTGTGGGGACTTACGGGAAAAGCTGCTACATTGTCTTTTTTAACCTACCTTATACATTTAAGTCTCCCTTTTATCTTCTTTGCATGTTCAGATTTTACATCATGGGGCAATCCTGATTTGCCAGGCCAGGCGGTCACCGCCACACCCACTCGTCGGACAGGTTATTCGAAGCCCACTGATGTCTTATGGAGAGAGACATTTTCTCGGAAGTTCGGAGCCTCGGATCACTTGGAGAAACTATTCAAGATCGATCCAGCGAGTACACGGCTCCCTGTTTATAAAGAGAAAGACCGTTCTCAGAGTTCACAGTTTTCCTCGGAACAAGAAGTAGGTCATCTGCTGCCTGAAAACGTGACGACAGTCCCCACGGCAACGGCTGCTGCTTCTCTACATTCCGGCTCTGCCACTCCGGAGCCCCGGGTTCCCTTCCCCACCAGTGCCCCCGCGACGCCGGCTGTGGCTTCGCAACCACGAGTGGCCAGCACAGCCCCGCCTGCAACGATGGTCACCTCTCGGCCTCCCACAGCCATTTCTTCACATTTGCCCCGTGCTGTGGTTGCACCTCGAGCTAACATGACTACGACAGCAGTTCCAACTGCCACGCTTCAGGCAACCGCACACTCGAAAGGCCTACCAGAAACGGTGCCCTTTAGAGAAATTTCCAACCAGACTTTGACCACAGAGAAGGCCCAAAACCCTGCTACAAGTCTTTTGCCAAATGTGGCTTCTTACACTACGAATAAAACTGCTTCCCAGGAAAATGGGAAGAGCAGTTCAGGCGGCTCCTCCCAGCACAGTGTTCCAGAAAGTCAATACGGCCTTCCATTTGAAAAGTGGCTCCTCGTTGGGACCCTGCTCTTCGGTGTTCTGTTCCTCACCATAGGCCTTGTGCTCTTGGGCAGAATGCTCTTGGAATCCCTCCGCAGGAAACGTTACTCCAGACTGGATTATTTGATCAATGGGATCTATGTTGACATCTAAGGACAAAACTAGATGTGTCTTAATTCATGTAGTTCCTAGTAGACCAAATGTAGTGAGTTTCTGCTAACTCGCTGATTTTAGGATTTTTGAAGTATTTTGAAGGCAGGCAAATGCCCCCTACCACTTTTTGTTTTGAAGGGGAGAAAGAAAACAGATTAGGTAACCTGTGTGATCTATCTCTAAAAGATTAGCTGAAAACAAAGCTCTACTTAAAGAAATTAAGTAAAATTGCCGCATAAATTTGGAAAATGACTGGCTTAAAAAAATTGGATAAGACTTCTAGGCTCCAATTTGTTAATACTTCTAGTTCCAGATAAAGTCAACTACTTATGATATTAATTCTAATAGATTTACTTTCCTTTTTATATGTATTCCAATGAAACTTATTCCAGATGTATTTCCTTCCAATTAAATATTTGAATAAATGTTTTGTTGCTCAGTAATGTTCTTGTAAGTCACATGCCCATCTGGATAACTTTCTATTGATTCCCACCAGCAAAATGACTAAATGATGAAAATATGTGTTCTAAGTTAAAATGACACCCCCTCTCCCTTTTCCCATCAATGAGTAAAGAGGTTCCTTTGGGAGAATTTTAGCAGAATATTAACCTATGTAGAGACATTGACATGTCAGGTCTAAAAAATAGCCAAATCTACTTTGGACCTATTCTAGTTAACTTTAAAATGATGATGATGATGATGATGATGATGATGATAACAAAATAGGCATTTTCTAAAATTTACTAAGTTTAGCCCTGGCCAGTTTGGCTCAGTGGTTGGAGCATTGGCCTGCGGACCAGAGAGTCCCAGGTTCGGTTCCCGCTAGGGGCACGTACCACACACACACAAAATAAAGTGTATTTTGTTGTGTTAAAGAAGTGACTTTTGCCCTGGCCAGTTTGGCTCAGTGATTAGAGTGTCAGCCTTCGGTCCAGAGAGACCCAGGTTCGGTTCCTGCTAAGGGCACATACTTCGATTGCAGTTTGTCCCTGCCCCGGTTGGGGTAATGCAGGAGGCAGCCACTCAACAGTCCCTTTCACATTGATGTTTCTCTCTCTTTCTTCCTCTCTCTCCCTCCCACTCTATCTGAACAAAACATGGAAAAAAGTCCTCTGGTAAGGATAAAAAAAAAATTTACTAAGTTTAATATGTAACCATATTATTTATAAATCCTGATCTAAACTGGACCAACACTTTTTTTTTTTTTTTTTGCTTTATTTGAATACCATTGGACATAATAGATAACACATTATTATTCAATGATTAGTGTGTTGTAACTTTCATTGATTAGTTATTGAAGTACCTGAGAAGTGCTTTTAATATACATAGTTTGCCAGACAAGTCACTGTAGGTAACTAAGAGGCCAGGAGGTCATCTAGGTCAGTTTGACATCTTGCCTCTGGATTTCAAGTTGCTTATCTGGAAAACAAGAGGTTTGGTCCCTTCCTGGTAATAAAATGGAATTCAGGTGAGAACTTTATACAGTGAACGCTAGAGGGCAGTAGATGGTTAATAAGTAGAGCAAGGAAGAAATGAAGGAAATGATAGAAAACCGCTTTTCTCCTCTTTACTCCTCACCTCTTCCTTCCCATCCCCTATCCTGGAACCTCTCCCTCTCCCCCCTGGTTTATTCTAAGCCCATAAAGCTCATTGAAAGGAAAGCTGGTCTGTTGAAAATAGTACTTTTAACATATTTTCCAATTTAACAGCTTGACACAAGTCTCCAAGGGGTTTACATAAGCTTTAAGTAGGTCGAATAAATAAAACCTTGAATCAATTTACCAAGTATTTATTGAACAACCACCTGTAGGCCAGAATCAGATTAGTGCCTCATGATTTTAAAATTTCTCCTCTCTTTGTTAAGGGAATTGAATTGTGGAAATAGGCTCTCTGTGGATGTTTATAAGAGCCTCCTCCTGGTTCTCTTGAGCTCTCCATCCACCTGGCTGCATGCAGTCCTTCTCAAGATGGAAATCCGATGGGGAGCCCAGGCCGGAGGCCGGAGCAGTAGTCCAGATGAGAGATGCTATGGGCCCAAACTCTGCAAGTGACTGTGGGGGTGGATGTAGGCTGCAGGGGAATCACTGAATTTAAGCTGCTTCTATGAGGTAGTGTAGCTCTTCTCACACTGTCCTCTCTGCTTATTACCCCTGCCACAGTGGGTGAGGCTGCTGCAAGGGCACATCAGAGGGAAAAGAAGCCTGCATTTGCTTTCTTTTAAATCACTGCAACAATGATTAGCCTTGTCAAACTTTTAGACAAGGTGCTCTGAATTATGAGCTATAGGTTTGGTTTGTAGGAAGGGTAGGTGACAGCCTGGTACAAGTGAGAAGACTACAGTGGTTCCCTCTGCTCAGAAATATTCTCTCTCCATTTTTCACCAAGAGAGTCACCTGGGTTAAAAGGCTATTCTTTTGTTGTTGTTGTTAATCCTCCCCAAGAATATTTTTCCATTGATTTTTAGGAAGAGAGAGAAACATCGATGTGAGAGAGACATATGGATTGGTTACCTTCCCTGCCCTCCCCCCACCACACGACCCTGACCAGGGCCAGGGATCGAACCTGAAACCCATGTACGTGTCGTTGACCGGAATCTAACCATTGGGTCACACTGGCAAGGGCTAAAAGTTTATTCTTTTTCTTTTTCTTTATTGATTTGAGAGAGAGAGAAACATCAATGAGAGAGAACATTGACTGGCCGCCTTTTGCATGCCCCCCACCGGGCGTTTGGCCCACAACCTGGGAATTGAAGTGGTGACCTCTTGGTGCATGGGTCAACACTCAATCACTGAGTCACACTGGCTGGGCTAAAAGTTTTTTTTTTTAAAAAAGAGAATGACCCCTGAGGAATAAAGCTCATTCCCTCCAGATGAATGCTGCTACATTCCTTTCTTTTAATAATTTTTATTGATCTATTTGTTGTTCCACTTATTTATGCTTTCATGGTTGATTCTTGTATGTGCCCTGACTAGGAATCTAACCCGCAACCTTGGCATATTAGGACAATGCTGTAACCAACCAATCTACCTGGCCAGCACCTGCTACATTCTTGTTTGTCAATGATCCTGGCCTAGGTGAGGCATGGTTGAAACCCTTTGGTTTCCAGATTGTGGTGGGCACCACAGGTTATCTATGCAGCCTCCACCCCAGCTCCACTTTTGCCTTATTTGTTATAGGTTGGAAGTGTTGGATTCTTTCCCAGCCTCTCTACAGTTAGGGGTGACCTGTGACCCATTTCTAGCTGAAAGGAAACCTCCTGGGGGCTCCTAGGAAAGTTTCTTCTCCTTGATAAGTGAGGGTTACAAAAATAAGGAAGCCCTTTTTGCCCCCAACTCCTATTTCCTGCTTGGAATGCTGGCTAGGTAAGGTGTAAGGACTCGATAACTTGGAGCTACTGCATGCAACCTTTTTGCCACTATGAGGGGAGAAATCACTAACAAGCTCAGCATGGCAAGGTGGGATATGGGAAGAGTCTGATCCTTGATGACTAGGTTAAGGGAACTGCCCAGTTCCCATCTTGCTATGTGATAATCAATCTCTAATTTATTTTGTATCACTTTTAGTTGAGTATTTTACTACTTATTGATAATGATAGCAAACACCTATAAGGTACTTATTCTATGTGTCAGGCACACTTTTACATATACAAACTCATTCCTACAACAAACTCATGAAGAATATTTATACTTATTTTGCAGATGAGCAAACTGAGGCACAGACTTGCTTGAGGTCACTTGCCCAGATAATATGAGTCCAGAGTTCCCACGTTTTCCATTCTTAAAACTGGAATAATACACAGCATAGCCCCCCAAAAAGAAGTTTGCAGTAGATCAGACATTTTCTAGACAATGGCTTTTATTTTTTTTTTGTTTTGTTTTGTTTTATCCTCACCCGAGGACATTTTTCCATTTTTTGTTCAGATAGAGTAGGAGGGAGAGAGAGGGAGAGAGAGAGAGAGAGAGAGAGAGAGAGAGAGAGAGAGAGAGAGAGAAACATCGACGTGAAAGGACACATCGAGTGGCTGCCACCCACGCAACCCAACCAGGGCCGGGGACAAACTGCAGCCGAGGTGCATGCCCTTAGCGGGAACCAAACCTGGGTCTCTCTGGACCGCAGGCCGACGCTCTAACCGCTGAACCAAACCAGCCAGGGCTAGACAATAGCTTTTAAATTTTGATGAATACCTTGAGCCAAAAGCATGGAAATTAAGATATCAGTGGTCTTGCCCTGGCCGATTTGGTTTAGCGGTTAGAGCACTGGCCTACGGACCAAAGAGTCATGGGTTTGATTCCGATCAAGGGCACGTACCTCGGTTGCAGTTCGATCCTGACCTTGGTTGGGGTCGTGCAGGTAGCAGCCAATCAATGTGTCTCTCTCACATCGATGTTTCTCTCTCTCCCTCGCTCCCTCTCTTTCACTCTGTCTGAAAATCAATGGAAAAATATCCTCAGGTGAGGATTAAAAAGAAAAGAAATTAGTGGTCTCATTCTGGGATAGGCTTCCTGTATTTTTTAGCTGCTGATGTCCTGTCTTGTTGTTTGGTCACTGACCACCTATGCCAAAGTTAATGGTCACTCATTAGTCAAAGGCACACCAAAATAGAGAACCCATCCTGATCCTGGCTTCTCACCCCTCAAATAACAGTTCCGCCAGCACCCCCCCCCCCATCTCCCTTGTACTGAGCAATTTCAAAGTCATACTCTACTCTCTCTCCCTCAGTCTCCACATCCAGTGTTTACCAAATATTATTTATTCCCTTTCAAAAATGCTTCTCAAAGTCAACCTTCTCTGCCACCTCCTGTTTAGTCTCCCTAACCTGTTTCTCCTTACTCCCAAGTTACACACTCCCTCCATGCAAACTCCAGTTACATTAAAAATACAGCACAGCCCTGGCCAGTTTGGCTCAGCAGTTAGAGCATCGGCCCTCGGACCAATGAGTTGCAGGTTCAATTTCAGTCAAGGGCACGTACCTCGGTTGAGATTCATCCCCAGCCCTGACTGGGGTTGTGCGGGAGGCAACCACTTGATGTATCCCTCTCATGTCGATGTTTCTCTCTCTTCCTCTCTCTCCCTCCCACTCTATCTGGAAAAAAAAAAGAAAAAATATCCTCGGGTGAGGATTAAAAAAAAGCACAACACAATGCATCATGCATGATACCTCTGTGCCCCCATTACCTGCAGGAATGGTTACCCATGGCGTGTTGCACAAGGCCCCCATGCCATAGCCCCAACCTTACTGTCCTCCCATCTACCTTTCCTCCCACAAAACCTGGGATGTAGCTCTATACCCCTTTGAGAAACCCTGTTTCTCGAAGGTGCCAGGTGCCTTCCTGAGCTGTGCTATTCCCTCTGTTTGTAAATGCCCTGCCCCTTGTTCACCTGG